TGCCTACACGCTGGACCTGCTCGGATATTGGACTTCAGTCTCCAGAACTGTGGGCTATAACTGTTGTTTAAGTTACCCAATCAAGGAGATTTTTGTTATAGCTGCTCAAAGTACTTTCATGGCTCACTGCAACCTGGATCTCTTGGGTTCAGGTCATCCTCCCACCTCAACCTCCCAAGTAGCTAGGGCTAGAGACTCACGCCACCACACTCATCTGCAAAGTCCTTTTTAATAACTGAGTACCTTTATTCAATAAAAACAGTACCTTTAAAAAAAATCAAGACACTATCTTTTTAAAAATTGAGGTAAAATTCATATAACATTAAATTCACCATTTTAAAGTATATAGTTCTGTGGCATTTGATGGATTCCTACTTTTGTATAATTCCCACTTCCGTCGAGTTCCAAAACATTACTGTGGCCCCAAAAGGAAACCTTGTACCCAGTTAAGAGTCACTCTCCATTCTCCTCCTGACCCTCTGGCAACAATTATAATTTGTTTTTTATTTCTATGAATTTGCCCACTCCAGGTTTTTCCTATAAATGGAATCATACAACATGTGATCTTTTGCGTATGACTTCTTTCACTTGGCGTAATGTTTTCCAGGCTTACCCATGTTGTGGCATGTGTCAGTATCTCAATCCTTTTGACAGCTGAATGCTATTCTACTCATGGTTATATTGCCTTTTGTTTATCCACTCACCATTTGATGAACATCTGTGTCATCTCTAACTTTTGTCTATTTTGAATAGAGCTGCCATGAGCATCCATGTACACGTTTTTATTTGAATGCCTGTTTTCCATTCTTTTAGGTATATACCTAAGAGGAGAATTGCTGGGCAATATGGAAATATCATGTTTAACTTTTTGAGGCACTGTCAAGCTGTTTTCCAGTATGGCCGCTTTGTTCATATTCTCACCAGCAGTGTTTAAGGTTCTAAAGTCTCCACATCCTCACATAGACTCTTCACTTTCAGTTTATTATCATTGTTAGCACAGTCACACTAGCTGGTGTAAAGTCGTATTTCACTGTGGTTTTGACTTCCATTCCCTCAATAACTAATGGAGCATCTTTTTATTTGTTTTGAGAGAATTTGTATATCTTTCTTGGAGAAGTATGTATTCAAGTCCTTTGTTCATTTTAATTTTAATTTTTATCTTATTTTTAATTTTCAGGGAGTATGTATGCATATTTATTACATGAACATATTGTGTAGGTTGGGATTGGGTCTCAGGTGACCCAATCCTCAGATAGTAAACGTTGTGCCTCGTAGGGAGTTTCTGAACTCTAACCTCCATCTCCTTTCCCCTTTTTGGTGTCTATTATTTCCATTTTTTGTGATCATTTAGCTCCCACAGATGAGTGGGAACATTCAATATTTGGTTTTCTGTTTCTGAGTCAGTTCACTTAGGATGATGCTTTCCAACTCCATCCATGCTGCTGCAAAGGACACGATTCCATTCATTTTTATGGCTGCATAGTATTTTGTGGTGTATTTATACCACATTTTCATTATCCACTGATCAGTTGATGGGCATTTAGGCTGATTCCACATCTCTGCAATTGTGAAATGTGCTGTGACGAACATGGGATGCATTTGTCTTTTTTAACATAACGACCTCTGTTTCTTAGGGTAGGTACCTAGTAGTACCTAAGATTTCTGGATCATATGGTAGATCTACTTATAGTTCTTTGAGTAATCTCCATACTGCTTTCCATAGAGGTTGTACTAATTTACACTCCCACCAACAATGTACAAGTGTTTTCTTTTCTCTGCATCTGCACTAGTATCTATTGTTTTGATTTTTTTTTTTTTGAGTTGGAGTCTCACTCTGTCACCCAGACTGGAGTGCAGTGGCTGCTCCCGGCCACCGCAGCCTCGACCTGCTGGGCTCCGGCAATCCTTCCGCCTCAGCCTTCCGAGTAGCCGGAATTACAGGCATGCGCTACCACGCCCAGCTGATTTTTTGATTTATTGTAGAGATGAGGTCTCGCTGCCCAGGTGGGTCTCGAACCCGTGGGCTCAGGCAATCCACTCACTCGGCCTCTCAAAGGTGCAGGATTACAGGCTGAGCCACCAAGCCTGGCTTGTTTTGATTTTTTAAATAATGGCCTTTCTGACTGGTATAAGGTGGCATCTCACTGTGGTTTTAATTTGCATTTCCCCGATGATGAGTTTGTCATATGTTTGTTGGCCATTTGTATATGTTTTGTTTTTTGAGTTGGAGTCTCACTCTGTTGCCCAGGCTGGAGTGCAATGGCATGCTCATGGCTACCATAGCCTGCTGAGCTCAGGTGATCCTTCTCTGCCTTCCATGTAGCTGGAACCATTCTTTTGAGAGATGTCTGTTCATGTCACTTGCCCACTTTTTAATGGATTTTTTGCTCTTGCTGATTTGTTTGAGTTCTTTGTAGATTCTGAATACAAAAGCCCTTTGTCAGATGCATAGTTTGCAAATATTTTCTTCATTTTGTAGGTTGCCTACTTGCTCTGATGATTATTTCTTTTACTGTGCAGAAGCTTTTTAGTTTAAGTTCTACTTACTAATTTTTTGGTTGCATTTGCTTTTGGGGTTAAGCCATAAATTCTTTGCCTAAACTAATGTCCATAAGAGTTTTTCCTAGGTTTTCTTCCAGGATTTTTATGGTTTTGGGTCTGATATTTAAGTCTTTAATCCACCTTGAGTTCATTTTCATATATGAGGAGAGATCAGGATCAAGTTTCATTTTTTCTGCATATAGCTATCTAATTCCCAGCACCATATGTTGAATAGGGTGTCCTTTTCCCATTGTATGGTTTTGTCTGCTTTGTCAAAGATCAATTTGTTGTAGGTATTTGTGTTTATTTCTGGGTTCTCTATTCTGTTCCATTGGTCCATGTGTCTGCTCTTGTATCAGTACCATGCTGTTTTGGTTACTATGGCCTTGTAGTATAATTTGAATTCAGGTAGTGTGACGCTTCCAACTTTGTTCTTTTTATTTAGAATTGCTTTGGCTATGCTGGTTATTTTTTGGTTCCATGTAAATTTTAGGATTTTTTTCTAATTCTGTGAAAAATGATGTTGGTAGTTTGATAGAGATTGCATTGAATCTGTAGGTTACTTTTGATATTATGATCATTTTAACAATGTTGAATCTTCTAATCCATGAGCATGGGATGCTTTTCCATTTGTTTGTGTCCTCCCAATTTCTTTCACCAGAGTTTTGTAGTTCTCCTTGCAGAGATCTTTTACCTCCTTGGTTAAATATAGTCCTAGGTATTTTGACTTTTTGGATGTTATTGTAAATGGGATTCATTTATAAATTGAATTATTTGTTTTTCTTGTTGTTGTTGTATTGTAAGTTTTTTTTTTCTTTAGATATTTTGGATCTATCAAGTATATCATTTGAAAATGTTTTCTCCCATTATGTGGCTTATTTTTTTACTTTTGATAGTGTCCTGTGATGCACAATACTTTTTAATTTTCAAGTGAAATTTACCCATTTTTTTCTCTTGCTGTTTGTGCTTTTGTTGTCATATCTTAAAATCTATTGCTAAATTCAAATTCATGAAGGTCTATAACCCTATGTTTTCTAAGAGTTTTATAATTCTAGCTCTTACATTTAGGTCTGTGATAAATTTTGAATTAATCTTTCTATTGATCGGAGGTAGGAGTCCAACTTCATTCTTTTGTATGTAGATATTCAGTTGTAGTGTCTTTGTTTTTAGTATAATTTATTTAATTATAAGTTTACATAGTTAATCTTTTAATTATGGCTGTATTTAACAACTGGCTTGCAAAATTTCTGAAAATAGGATAATCAGGTGTCTCAAGCCAGTGAGAATGGTAATAGCTGGCTCCCATGCCCCTATTTCTACCACACTCTGCTTAGAAAAACTTGCTGCCAATGGCTGGAATGTACATTTTTTTTGGGGGGGGGGGAGGTTGAGTTGGGGATGAGTGAAGCAGGTTATGAAGCTCCTGGGGGATAAATGCCTGCAGAAAAAGGATCTGAGGACCTTCAAACCTCTAGCCATAAGCTTGTCCAATACTTTCCTCTTACAACTGTCTTTTCCTTCATGATTGGAAGAGCATGGCTGGCCTTGTCTTGCTCCCTTCCTTGGCATTTGCCCAGCTACTCTTTCTGGTTTAGAAGGAACCAATTTTGTCCCAACTGGATCTGGAGGGACTTTGGAACCCCTACCTTTACACAAAAACCTAAGCCTTGTCCTGAGGCTGAGGAAGTGATCCTTTTCCTGGTAGTATCTTGAGATCAAATACAGGGCACCCAGGTACATTTGAATTTCAGATAAGCAAGGCACAAAGTTTTAGTATAAGCATGACTCATGTGAGGTTTGGGACATACTTATACTAAAAGTAATCCTTATGCAATATGTGAAACATTAATACTAAAGAATTATGCATAGCTTATTTGAAATGCAAGTTTAACTAGGAGTCCTGGATTTTTGTTTGCTAAATCTGGCAAGCCTTCCCTTGGGTAAGTTTCCTTCCTTATTGTCCTGATCCTATAATAGAGACTCTCCAAACTGGTAAGGACCTGCTTTCTTGTCCATTTTAAGGTTTGGAAACTGAGTCCTGGATAAGAAAAGGGATTTGCCTGAGCACATGGAATCACTGTGGGCTTTCAGGGCCCTTTATGAGTATCCCCTGCATGGAGCACCGTACTGATGCCATGGGATGACAGAGACAAGCCTGCGATGGACCTATGTAGGGAGCATGTTAAACAAAAAATGGGGTTCAGACTGACTTGGGTCCTAATCCTGCTTTTCATATATCAGCTGCATGACAAATCACTTCTGCTCTCTGAGGCTGTTTCCCTAAATGGGGATAATAATTTTTTTCTTAGGGGATTGTTGTCAGACTTCAGTGGGGTGGTGATATGCTCTATGTTGAGGCATGAAGATTTTATTGTCTGATGAGAGAGAAAGTGCCCATACTAAGGTCTGCTTATTGCCTGCAGGTTGCCCAGCATCCTGGGTCACCCAGATGATGTGGAATGGAGGTTCCAGAACCCACCTGCCCTGCCCCTCCTGCCAGGGACCAGCCAGCTCCTGCTCCTGGCCCTCCAGGGGTCTCAGGTGGCCAGGCCTCATCACATCTGGCCCTGGGCCCCATCATCCTGCCTCCGGAGCAGGGCCTGGCCCCCACTATGTTCCTGAAGGCCCTTCCCATTTCAGTGTATCACACAGTGCCTCCCGGGAGTCTCCAGCCTCGCGCCCCCTTAGTGACAGGCAGCCTGGAAGGAGGCAGCATGCCCTTCATCCTCAGCCCCCTCCTGCAGCCTGAAGGGCCCAGCCCCACCCAGGTGGGGAAGCCAGTGGCCCCGATGCTGACCGTGAACATCGTGGGTACGCTGCCAGTCTTGTCACCGGGCCTGGGGCCCACACTGGGTGGCCCAGGCAAGGTGCGAAATGCCGGCAAGTACCTGTGCCCACACTGTGGCCGGGACTGCCTGAAGCCCAGTGTCTTGGAGAAGCACATCCGGTCCCACACGGGTGAGAGGCCCTTCCCGTGTGCCACCTGCGGTATTGCCTTCAAGACCCAGAGCAACCTATACAAGCACAGGCGAACCCAGACGCACCTCAACAACTCCCGGCTGTCCTCAGAGTCTGATGGGACTGGGAGCAGCCTCCTGGAGGAGGGGGACAAGGCGGGGGAGGCCTCCAGATCAGACAGCTGGGGCGAAAACCACAGCCAGAGGATGGGTGAGGGGGCATCTGAGAGACCCCCCTCTCCAGGCGTCCTCGTGTCTCTTGCTGCCAAGAAACCAGAAGCCATACCCTGTCCAGGGGCCACATCTGCAGACAGAGAGGTTCCCCTAGACTCTGTCCTCATGGTGTCCCCTGGGCTGCCCCCGGCCGGCACGCAGCCCTGGCGCAAGCTGCAGGAGCAGAAGTCTTCTACCGCCAGCAAGCCAGGAGCCCTGCAGCGACAGCAGGCAACTTCTGCGGAGAAGCCCTGGGACACCAAGGTCTCGGAGGGTCAGCTGCGCAAGTGTGAGAGCACCGACTCAGGCTACCTGTCGCGCTCAGACAGTGTAGAGCAGCCCCCGGCTCCCTGCAGCCCTCTGCACAGCGTGTCTGAACACAGCGCTGAGTCCGAGGGAGAGAGTGGCCCAGGTCATGGGGTCTTGGGGCTTGGGAGCGTGGAGCAAGGGACACGAGGGACCAGCCTGGAACTGGAGAAGAGGCGTCTGGAGGAGCGCATCGCCCGGCTCATCTCCCACAACCAGGCCGTGGTGGACGATGCCCAGCTGGACACGGTGAGGCCCCGCAAGACCGGACTGTCCAAGCAGGGCAGCATCGACCTGCCCATGCCCTACACCTACAAGGACTCCTTCCACTTTGACATCCGAGCCCTGGAGCCCAGTCGCAGGAGGGCCCTAGGTCCAGCGCGCTCCACCTGGACACCCCCTGACAAGTCACGACCCCTTTTCTTCCACTCTGTCCCCACTCAGCTCTCCACTACCATGGAGTGTGTTCCTGTTACCAGGAGCAACTCGCTTCCCTTTGTAGAGGGCTCCAGGACGTGGCCAGAGCCCCGAGACCCCCAGGACACTGGCCCCAGGACACAGAAGTTCCTAAGCCCCAAGTCCACCCCGGCCCACCTGGGCTGCCACATGGGGCTGACCTCAGCTGACACCCCCGGCGGTCACCCCCGGGCCCTGGTCAGACAGGCAGCCGTGGAGGACCTACCAGGCACCACCACTGGCGATGCCTCCACCACTGCAGTTGACCTGGATGCAAAGAGAACCACTGCCAGGGAAGCGGTCACTGGCAAGGGCAGGGTAGCCAACAGAAGGTCTGGCCAGAAGAGGCTGAAGATGTTCTCCCAAGAGAAGTGGCAGGTGTATGGGGATGAGACATTCAAGAGAATCTACCAGAAAATGAAAGCTCGCCATGGAGGCAAGAAGGCCAGGGAGGTTCAAGCAGACAGCAGGACAGAATTAGACCTTCTTCCCCATGAAGATGACCCAACCCGACCGCAAGACACAAGAACCTCTGTTTGTGGGGATATTTCTGCAGGGGCCAAGCCACAGCCTTGGGGAAATCCACCTGCCCTGGAGGCCTCCTTGGTGACTGAGCTCCCTAAGCAGGGGGAGATGGTGGCCAGAGTAGGAGATAGTGACCAGCCTAGCATGGAAGGGGCCAAACCATCCCCCACACTTGACGGGACAGGCCCCTCCTGTTCAGGCAGCAAGAGCCCCTTGCTTCCTCCAAGTGGGAGGCTGGAACTGGGGTGCCAGTTACCCCCAGTGCCTACCCCTCTCAAAGGGAGAGATCTAGAGACCCCCAGGCTGGTTTTGCCAGATCCCAGGCTGGAAGGAGGTGCCCACAGCAGTGAGGATGTAAAGAAGACCTGTCTGTGGGCCCAAACTGTGTTGAGTCGGCCCAGTGGTAGCTCTGGGGAGGACAAGCTACCCTCAGAGAGGAAGAAGCTGAAGATGCTCAGCCAGGGCCCGCTGGAGCCTGTGGAAGCAGAGCTCATGCAGGCTGCCTCACTGCTGTCCCAGAAGCAGGACAGTGAACCTGGGACAATGCCAGGGGGGTCATGTGAGACAGTAGGTGAGCCCCTCAAGTTCCCTGGAGCCTCCTTGGCTACTGCTTCGATTGCCCTAAAGCAGGTGGGGCTGAGGGACAAGGCCCCCTCACTGCATCCTCCAGCCCTGGTCCCCAGACACTGTTCCCTGCTGGCCACCCAGCCCAGGGCTCCTGGAGTCCTCTCTGCTCTGGCAGACAATGCCTTTCCCCCCAAGTACCTCCTCAGGTTACCTCAGGCAGAGACCCTCTCACTACAGCCCGTTCCCAGAGGGCCCAGGCAAAGCCAGAACTCTGTCTACAGGAGTGGGCAGCCTGGGGAACAGGTGTCCTCTGTTGGATTAGGACTGGGGACCCCCTTGTCTTCTGGCCCAGTCTCAGGCCCATTCCCAGACGAGGCAGACAGCTGGTCCAGGCAGTGGGATGAGAGGAAAGGCACACAATCGGGAGAGAAGGGAGACAGGATAGTCATGAGCATCTCAGCAGTTTGGGAGTCTCTTAGCCCAGGGGTCCCCAGGGAGACCACCTCCTCCCCGCCTGCCCCCACATGTGATGCCTACGTAGCCCAGGACATAGAGGGTGAGACCCATGCCACCCATCACCTCTGCATGGGCAGCATTCTGGCAAGGGCCAGGCCCTCCAGGGATGTCTCAAACCCCTGGGCACCCAACTTGGAGCTGGGAGGGGCTCCTGAGAATGCTCCAGAAGACCCTCCTTCAGGGTCCCCTGCAGGGCTCAATGCCTGCTGCCCGCTCCAGCCCAGCTCCTTCCTCACTCAGCCCCAGGGTGTGCCTCTGGACTGGCCCAAGCTGGCCTTATCTTTCCACTCAGGAACCCCCAGGGGCCTCGGGGCCCAGAGCCCCTTCCCTTCTCTAAAGGCTGAGCCACGGCTCACATGGTGTTGCCTGAGCCGCAGCCTCCCTCTGCCTGAGGAGCAGAAAGCGAAGGCAGCCTCCGTGTATGCGGCCCTGCACATCCCTGGCAGCAGCCTCCAGGGTGAGAGCCCCATGAGCCATGAAGGATGGACCCTGACAAGCACTAGAGAAGGAGAGCCGATGCAGATGGCCAAGGTAAGCCTGGGTTTTCCCAGGCCCCTAGGGACCGAGAAAGCGTATATTGGAGGCAGGGCCTGTGGCGATGGGGGGGAACCTGTCCCTACAGCATCTGCTGTTCATTCTGTCTATTCAACTTGTCCCGATGGAGGGTGGGGCTACTGTTTACAGAGCAGGACATCATAAAGGCCAAAAATGCAAACCAAAATGAAAGCCATGAAAACAATACATTTCAGAGGGAAAAAAATTATTGTAGCTGAGACACTGGGTGAGCTAGTGTTCATAACTAGACATAATATATGTTTGAGCTTCCTGGTAACAGAGGCAAAAAGTAAAACAAAACACTCCACCAGAGAGAAGATCTCCTTCTAAGGTTATCCACCAGAAACTCTTATTGAGAGACAGACTCCGGGCAAAAGCAAAACAAAACAAAAAAAACTATGAAAAGGAAAGTGTCATAGTGGTGACTCTGGTGAAATAATTAGTATGCTCAGATCCAAACCTACCTCTGAGGTTCCTGGGAGCAGTGATGAAAAGAGAAATGGGTGATGCCCGGGGTGTTTTCACTTGCTGATTGAATAACAATGTATGGTTCCAGCTTAAGAGTGAGTTCACTCACCCAGTCTGGTAATTGAGAGCTTTTCTTCTCTGAAGTGGTTTGGGCAGGGTCCCAGAGAAGGGTCCTGTGGCCTCAGCTCTAATTTCAACCCTATCAGACAGTGACAAGGGTGTGGAGTCTAGAGCCTTTCAGGCGGTCCAAGCTTTCCCCAAGTGGAAGCCACAGGTGGAGAGTGCTTTCTTTACCCAGAGAAGAGTGGGTTAATCAAGAACGCGTTGAGACCAAGAGGGGCTGCCAGGTCCAGTGTAGCCCACTTTCCTCTAGAAGTAGGGGCTCCTGGAGTGGGGGGAGGGGAGGGAAAAGGTGCTGGCCATGGTGATTCTTTGGCCTCCAGTAAACACCAGTGGCTCAGGGTTTCCTCTGTAGATGCAGCCCAGGCAGCTTTCAAAGGTTCTTTTTGTCTAAGAATGCTCTGCAGAACCTGGTTGGAGTCTCTGACGGGTCAGATCCTTGTCGATGCAGCGTTTCAGGTCCTTAATTTCTGTAGGCAGGTATCCTATCTGCAGAGAGGCACCCCTTCTGGGTTGTCCCTATCATGAGGGCTTTGAGCGGTACAATGCCAACATGCCTGGTATTTCCAGCTCTCCTACCCGAGAGTCCCGGGGATGATGTCCCAGGATCATGTATCTGCACCAGAACGGAAGAAAGGACTGCTTCATTGGAGGGCGAGGACATTTCGTGGGAACAGCAAGGAGAAGAAATTGAGGACCAACCCTAAAAGGTAGGGTGTGTGGCCACCTGTCATTTCCACACGTACCCATGGTTTCAGGAAATTTAGCTAAACACCTAAGAACTTAACGAGCAATTCAGAAGGCATCTCTGTGCTCCAGAGAAGGCATTCCTGTGTCATAGGGTCTAGAGTTTCACCATCAAAAGATTGAATTTATTTTCCCCATCAGTTCATTGTTTCCCAATGGTGCATTTTCAAGGCCAGGGATCCAGCAAATATTTGAAATAACTGGGTTGAAAACACATCCATCCAATTTAAGTCCTGAAGAGAGAGTGTGTTAATTATTTACAGCTTTTATTGCTTTTTTAATTATGCAAGCCATGTATGTCCTTTGCAGAAAAACTGAACACCACAGCTAAGCAAAGAGAAGACAACAGAACATTCTAGAAATCTCGCTGCTCAGAGATAATCACTGTTAGCATTTAGGAATTGCCCTTCCAGACTTTTCTTTTTGATGTGCACATATCTACCACTAACAAATGAGAAGACATGTGGGTTTTAATACCACGGTTTCATCGTTTCATTGTTTGATTGTTTGGTTCCTTTGCTCAAAACCCTCTAGTCTACCCATTATATACAAGTTAAAAAGCAAATTCTTTAACCAGTCTCCGCTTCGATTTTGGACTCCCCCCAGAAGCTTTCTGGTTTCGTTTTTCCCATGATCCCCTACTCTCCCACTCACCCTCCAGCCTTGCCCCACCCTCTGAGTCACACTGTGAACCCAGATCCCTGAGGCCATCATACCCACACCTCAACTCCCAACATCCTCTCCCTTAGCCTTCTCTCCCTCCTGTCAAGGTTTCATCCAAAGTCTAGGTATCCTTCAACAGGCTATGTAGGCCAGGCTTGGTGGCTCAGCCTGTAATCCCAGTGCTTTGGGAGGCCGAGGTGAGTGGATTGCCTGAGCCCACGGGTTCCAGACCAGCCCGGGCAACTTGGTGAGACTTCATCTCTATAATAAATAAAAAATTAGCGGGGTGTGGTAGCGAATGCCTGTAGTTCCGGCTATTTGGAAGACTGAGGCGGTAGGATCCCCTGAGCCCAGCAGGTTGACACAGGGGTGGCTGTGAGTGTGCTATTGCATTCCAGCCTGGCAATAGAGTGAGACTACAACTCAAAAAGAGAGAGAGAGAGAGAGAGAGAGAGAGAGAGAGAGAGAGAGAGAGAGAGAGAGAGACGATGCACATTCTTAGCTCTCCTCTGCAGCTGCTGAGACCCTCTCCTCTGGAGATGACCTCTCCTCATCAGGGACCCCATCCTCTGTTATCCACTGTCTGCTGGGATCACATGGCCTGAGCTAACATTACAGAGCACTTGCTGTAGTAGGGCCACCACACTGATCACATTGTCACATGCATGGTCTCATTAGATCCAGCAAGGGCTTCATGGGGCAGCTCCCTTTTTCTCATGAGGAAATTGAGTCACAGATGACCTCTGCTCAGACCCAGATTTAAACCAGCAAGTCTCACTGCACAACCAACGGCTTGTCCTGGGCAAGCCTGTCCTGGGCACTCTAATTGCCTGGAGTTTTCCTGGAGTTTTCTTGCAGTGTTGAGTCTGTTTCAGCAGGTTTGGGGAAGAGCTCTCAATTCTGTATTTCTAACACAGCCAGGTGATGGTGCTTGGAGAGGTAGAGCATCATCCTGCTTCAATCACATTGTTTTTTTCTGACGTCCATCCATCATTTTTTTATGGATCATTCAGGCTCTGTGACAGAACCCCAAGTCAAAAGAAGGACCCCTTCCATGTAACATACCCTCCCTGATGAAAAAAAGCATCAGCTACATAGTAAGTAAGGGCTCTCTGTTCCTCAGTGGCTCCCACCTTTCATTCTCTGTTCAGCACCTGTTTTTATTTCCTGCAAGCATGACCATGGTCTGTACGTTTGTTAAGCTGCTTACTAGACTCCTCCACTAGAATGAGAGTCCCATGACAACAGGACCACGTGTGTCTCACTCACTTCTGTGACCCTAGCACTTAAAACACGTGATTGACCTAGTAGCAAATGTGTTAGCTGTTGCTAACTATGTGCTTGATATTCCTTGGACTCAGCAAATATGCTGTATGAGTGATCTATTGCTGTGTAACAAATCACTCCAAGACTTAGTGGCTTAAAACAATAGCACTTATTATTCCTCAAAGTTTCCCAACAATTTAGGCATGGCTTGGCTTGGTGGTTCTGACGTGGGAGTCTCTCGGGAGGTTGCCATCAAGATGCCGGCTGGGATTGTGGGCACCTGCAGGCTCGGAAGGGGTGGTTGGATCTACTTCCAAGGCAGCTTCCTCACATGGCACTGGATAGTGGCAGGAAGTCTCAGTTTCTTCCCATGTGTCTCTTGGTGACAGTTTGAGCATCCTCTTGACATCATGATCGGCTTCCCCCAGAGTGAGCACTCCAAGAGAGGGCAAGGTCAGGCCACAATGCCATTTATTTAATTTATTTTTAAAGATAGTGTCTCACTCTGTCACCCAGGCTGGAGTGCAGTGACTTGATTACTGCTTACTGCAGCCTTGAACTCCTGGGCTTAAGTGATCCTCCTGCCTTGGCCTCCCAAGTAGCTGGAATTACAAGTGCATGCCACCACACTTGGTTAAGTTGTTTATTTTTATTTTTTTAGGGACAGGGTCTTGCTATGTTTCTCAAACTCCTGGCCTCAAGTGAATCACCCTGGCTTCCTAAAGTTCTGGTATTACAGGCATGAGTCATTGTGCCCGGGTACAATGTCTTTTATAATCTATCCTTGGAAGTCACATTCTGATTCTGTTATTTCTATAATACCCTGTGTGTTGCTCAGGCCAGCCATGCCATCATGAGAGGGGTATACACAGGGTAATGGTGACCAGAAGGCATTGGGGAACGTCTTGGGGAGTGTAGCATCCTGCATGCTATGTGCTAGGAGGCTCTGGCTCTTTCTCTTAAGGTGATTTTAGTCCAGAAGATAAAACTCAACCATGGGAGAAGGTAGGCTGTGATGAGGTTTGCCTCAAGATGGGTCCTGAGGTGCTCTGGCTGGAGAGGCAGGAGACCCAAGTTCCAGTCCCGGACACATGACTCCATGTGCTGGCCAATGTCTTAAGATCTTCCCATACTTTCACCCATTTGATCCTGGCAGCATCCCTGTTGGGGTATGGTGGGCAGAGTTCTGAGATAGTCCCTGAGATGACTACCCCTCTTGTCAAGCCCTGATAATTCCTTCCCCTTGGGTGACAGGAGAAACGGAAGGATGAGGTGCCTCATGAACAGCTCCCACCTCCCCAAGACTTCAACTTGACTCACTCAACAAACATTCATTGCATACCTGCAGTGTGCCTGGGCATTCATTGTGCACTTGCTGTGTGCCTGAATGGGCCGGAGTTAATCTGATGGGTCCTTGTAATGGAAGGTCTAGAGATCAGAGACAGAAGAAATCAGAGAAATTGGGAGCTGCAACAGTTGCTGTCCCCTTGGCTTTGATGGAACAAACTTCTACAATTGTGGAAATAGCAGATGGTCCCACCCGGGGAGCTGATAGCAAACCCTGGCTGATGGTCAGCAAGAAGGTGAGGATGTCATTCATATGACTACAAGGGCAGGAATTCTTCCAACAACCAGGGAACTTGGAAGATCACTCAGTGCTTCAGAAAAATGTATCCCGGCCAACCATTGATCTGAACTTTATGAGACCCTGAGCAGATCATCCAGTCAAGCCAGACCAGCATGTCTGACCTTCAGAAACTGAGATGACACAACATCTGGCGGTGACTTCAGGCTGCTGAAATAGTGGCAATATGCTCTGCAGCACAGAAAGCTACTGTAGATGGGCTCCACCAGTGTTCCCATTTTGCAGATTGGGACATGGAACCTCAGAAAGTGGAAGTAAATTGATCAAGACCACACAGCTATTTGGAGCATAGCTAAGATTTAGACTGGCTCTCAGAGGCCATACTGGGGACTCCACAAGGGAGAATTCCATGTGAGAAGCCCTTTGTGCATGCTTGGCATATGGAAAGTACTCCGTAATCATTTATTATTCTTGTGTTTACAAAATGGAACCACAGATGTGGATCATGCCCTCATTGTCCAGAAGGGAAAGTGAGATCCAGAGAAGAGGCTGGACTTGCTTGAGGTTTCACAGTGGACCCAAATCCGGGGCTTTTATACCCACTTCACAAAGCTGGTGTTTCTGAAGTAGACTGTTTTTGCAGCTCTGACACCAGCCAGAAAGACAGGCCCTGGGTGAAGTAGGAACGTCCTCTAAGTTCAGTGGAGTAAGAATGATTATGGTCATTGCATAGGCTGCCAGGTTGGCTCCTCGGAAGGGTCAAAGCCCACACACATGCACTCAGCCTGTGTCACTCAGGCCTGCAGCAGGAACCTGAATTTACAGGAACCACTGTGCCATCCGGGATGTGCCCATCAGAATGGCGGGAATGAGGCCAAGCATCCTCAGGAGGGCAGAGATTCCGATGTACTTATCTAGAGGTGGAACCAATTCCAATGTCTTTCTTTCTACAACTTGTAACGTGTGGACCAGGTTTTAAGCAGTGATTTCTTGTTTATGATCCCATGAGACCCTTGAAAGGGTCCTGTAAGGTGGATATTTGTCCTCTCCATCTTGGGTTCAATTAAAGGATGTGTTTGTTTTTCAGGATGCAGAGCAAATGAACACATTGTGACTTAAAACAGTACCCATGTATCACTTCATAGTTTCCATAGGTCAAAAGTCTGGGCACGGTTTAACTGAGTTCTCCGCTAAGGTCTCACAAGACTGAAATCAAGGTGTTGTCAGGGCTGCATTCTCATCTAGTAGCTCCCCTAGGGAAGGGTCTGCTTCCAAACCCCCTCAGGTTGTTGGCAGAATTCATTTTGAGGCATAAAGTCCATGGCAGCTTGCTGCTTTTTTTTTTTTTGAGTCGGAGTCTCACTCTGTCACCCAGACTGGAGTGCAGTGGCCGCTCCCGGTCACCGCAGCCTCGACCTGCTGGGCTCCGGCGATCCTTCCACCTCAGCC